CATTTCTTTTTTTTTCCTTTAGATTAAGTCTTGCTCTGTTACCCAGGCTGGAGTACAGTGGCATGATCTCAGCTCACTGCACCCTCCTCCTCCCAGGTTCAAACAATTTCCTGCCTCAGCCTCCTGAGTAGCTGGGCTAACAGGCACATGCCACCATGCCCAGCTAATTTTTGTATTTTTAGTAGAGAGGGGGTTTCATTGTGTTGGCCAGGCTAGTCTCAAACTCCTGACCTTGTGATTCACCCACTTGAGCCCCGCAAAGTGCTGGGATTACAGGCATAAACCACTGTGCCTGGCCTCATTTCCTATTCTAATTTTCCGGTTTAAAATTTCTTTTTTGTTTGTTTTCTTTTTAGGTTGTCAATCACTTTGTTGATACTTCCTTTTTGTTAATACATCATATTCTTGACTTTATTCATATTTTCCATTAGTTCTTTATAAACCTTTAAGACAGCTGTGTTAAAATCTTTACCTAGTAAAGTCCTCCCTTTCTCAGTGATAGTTTCTGTTGGTTAATGTTTTCCTTTGGATGGGCCACATTTTTCTGCTTCTTTGTATGCTTTGTGATTTTTTATTGAAAGCTGGATATTTGAATCTATTAAAATGGTAACTCTAGAAATCAGATTCTCACCTTTATAGGGTTTGCTATGTTTTGTTGTTGTTGTTGTTTTGTGTTTGATTATTGCAGGCTGTCTCTGTCAAGGATTAGGCTGAAGTGTAAATGTAAGGTCTTTTCAGGTCTTTCTAAGCCTGTGTGCTTCTCTGGGTATGTGTGGTGACATTCTAATTTCCTTTGTATATGCAGTTGCTTTTGAATGTCCCAGACTTTAATGTCTGGCTCCCAAAAGTTGGTGGGGGCAGGGGGCGGTGGAATGGGGATTAAGAAAGGAAGTCCTTTAAATTCCCTGGAAGTCTCTTCAGCTGGGGCAGAAGGGGCTTACAACAGTTGTAGATGGTATACAACTAAGGTTGTGAGCCTCTGTCTGCACCTCAATGATCAGAAGTAGCACCTGATCAGAGCACAGATCTCTAACATTTGGACGACAAGGATCTTTTTGCCCACCCTGGCTCCTGCAAGCTGCATGTGAGTTGTCCCAGGAATACATTTCTTATTCTAATTTTCAGGTTTAAAATTTGAACCATGAGATTGGGAGTTATGGGTTAAGAGCTGGGTTAAGAGCTGTAATTCACTGAAATTAGCTGCAGTTTGTCATCCAAATCTTCTCCTAGCAGATGCAAACTTAATAGACTCCAGAGTTTCAACATTGTTATATCAGACTGATTCTGCCAATGAAATTGTTGTCTAAATGAGGAGACAGATTCTTGGTGCTTCCTACTCTATCATCTTCCCAGAATTCTCTAGTGAAATAGTCTTTGATGATTTATCTACTATACCAGTTAGATATAAGTTAGGGAAGTTGGGATCCTAACTTAACAGCATAGGGTGTCATGTAAACCAGCAACCAAAACTGATACTGTTTTTCTCATTACCACAACTTAAGTGCCTAAGAATTAATGGAAATGAGAGTAGCTCTCTTACAATTATATCTAATAGTCCACTTGCAGAATTTTGATTCTCATTCTACAATTTTGGGCACTTCTGATATATAGGTCTTAGTTCCTAAGGAGGTACTTTTACCAGGAGACAATCATAGTTCCACTGAAGTGGAAGTTGTGATTGCTACTGGCCAATTGCATTTCTCATTCCTCTGAACCAATAGTCAAAGAGGGATTCAGCCTACTGGCTAGGTAACTGATACTGTTTCTAAAAGTAAATATGATTGCTGTTTTACCTTGAGGTCAAAAAAGAATATCTTTGGGACCCAGAGTATTATCTGGTGCTCCTCTAAGAAGTTCCATGTCTTTTAGTCTTTTGATGAAGACTACAGCAACCCAGTAAAAGCAGGACTTTTAAGGCTCAGACCCTTCAGGAGTGAAGGTTCAGAAGACCACATCAGTTAAGGAACCCCAGCCAGCCAAGGTGCTAGACGAGGACAAAGGAACATTGAACAGGTGATGGAAAAAAGTATTTACAGATATCCACTACGGCCTCCTGACCAGTTAGGAAAAGATGTCTGGAGCAACTATGCATATTTTCATGTGCATTTTCTTCCTTCCTGTGTGTGTGTGTGTGTGTGTGTGTACTTGCATGCACACTTAAACTGCTAGTGGTGACTGACTTTACAACTTAGTTTTTAGGATATAAAATATCCATAAATTTCTTTAGAGGAGAAAATAATATAATCTAGAAACGGCTACAGTAACTGATGAAACTGTGTCTCATCCTGCTTGAGAGGTTGGTTCAAGTGTCTTCAGCATAAGAGGAAGAGTTCCTTCATGTTAGGTAAAAGCATGTTGTGGTTGCTATTGTTGCATGGAAATTAAATATGGAGGGAAGTAGGAGAGCAGATATTGGTGTTCCAAGGGTTGAATGGTGCCAGTCATCTGCCTGTTTGCTCTCAGGCTTCATCCTTTTCCTTTGTGTTCCTCTACGTATTGTAAGGGGCTGGAGCCACCTCCTTACCTACACTTCCCAGACTGCCTTTCCAATTAGTTTCCAGTTGGATATTGCCAATAGAAGGGATTCATGAGAGACTGGAAGGCCAGAGCAAGGGAGAAGAAACTCTCTTGTTTGGCTTCTGATAGCATTTCTGTAAGAAGCAGCAATGATAGTGCAGTAGCAACGGCAGCACTAACCATGGAACTGTGTTGGCAGAGATTCCAGCCTTGGTTGAGGCATCACATCTTTAGCACATCCAGGATTACAGCAACACCCTCCCTAAAAGCCCAGCAGTGGGTATAGACTTGGTGACTTCAGTTTAGCAGTATTACAGCTTCTGATCTCTGGTTATCAACCATTCTTCCTCGTTGTTCTTCCCATACCCCTCTTCCCCACTTAGCTCTTCCATCCTTTCTAACAGCCACGTAACCAATTCCCTTTCTTTATCACTGGTGATATTTTAGGTGGAATAATCGTTCTCTGGGGATGATTTTTAAGAGTGCTTATCTTTTAGAGCTACAAACTGGAATATTTATAGATGAAATATTTATGGCTATGTATGAGATTTTTCTTAAGAATATTCTAGGATGGGGTGTGGTAGGGGCATAGATGAAACAAGATTGGCCATAACCTTGATAACTGTCAGGTGATAACTTGGTGATGGGCACCTGGAGTCAATTTTAAGATTGACTCTAATTTTATATGTGTTTAAAAATTTCCATGACAAAATACCAATTACCCCTCCCTACCAAGAATAAATGAGTAAACCAATCAATACACCAATAAATCCGATCTATTTGCAATATCTTAAGTGGTTTTTGTATTTCTGTCTACAGCCTGACTGACTCGCGGAGAAAGCCTGCCTACGAATGAAGCCAGGATTCCACAAAGAAGGTGGCAAGAAGAAAAAGGGCCATTCTGCCATCAACAAGATAGTGACCTGAGAATATACCATCGACATTCATAAGCACATCCATGGAGTGGGCTTCAAGAAGCATGCCCCTCAGGCACTCAGACAGATTCAGAAGTTTGCTATGAAGGAGATGGGAACTCCAGATGTGCACATTGATACCACACTCAGCAAAGCTGTCTGGGCCAAAGAAATAAGGAGTGTTCCATACCTAATCCATTGTGTGATTGTCCATAAAACATGAAGATGAAGATTCACCAAATAAGCTCTATACTTTGGTTACTTATGTACCTGTTACCACTTTCAAAAATCTACAGTCAATGTTGATGAGAACTAATCACTGATTGTCAAATACATCAAATAAAGTTATAAAATTGCAAAAAAAAAAAAAAGAATGAAGCCAATGCCAAGGAAAACAAAGGTATCTGCATGTGTATGACAGAACAAGTGACAGAGTAACAGAAGTCGCACACATGCTCAAGAAAAAGAGATGCACACAGAGACCTGACAGCATCCTGTGCACCTATATCCAGCCAAAGCATCCAGCAGATTTCACTTAGGACTTTTCAGATACATGAACCAATAAATTCCCTTCTTTGTTTAAGTTACTTTGAATTGGATTTCTGTTACTTACAAACAAAACAACCCTAACTAATGAAACCCCTATTAAATGATACTACTATTATCCCAACCCCCTTGAGTGACTAACCAACCACCATCATCACTATATAAAATCTATCTAAGTAACTTATTACACATATACATATACACATTAGGCGTAAGTCACAACAGAATATGCTAAGCACTAAATTAACTGGGAAACACTAAATTAAACTGATCCTTAGAGAAGGGATTAAGAGCCATGGGCTAAAGCAGTCAGAGAAGGCTCCTGGGAGGGAAAAGAGGAAGGTCTGACTTGGGCCTCAGAAAATGTACAGAATCTATGTAAGAATATAATATAATGGTCATGAGTATGGTCTCTGGAGTCCTATTGACATGGTTCAAATCCTTGCTCTGTTACTGACTAGCTTTGCAACTTTGGGCAGGTTACTTAAATGTCTATACTTATTTCCTCATCTAAAAAATGGGGATAATAATAGGACACCCACCTCATAGAGCTGTTATGAGGATTTAACTGAATTAACATATATAGTGCTGAGAACAGTGTCTGGCACATAGTAAGTACTACACATGTGTTTTTACTACTATTAAGAGAGGAAGGACCAGCCGGAAGGAACAGCCTCAGCAAAGGTGCAGAGTGGGAATGTACAAAGCTTATCTAGAGACCAGGGAATAGACTTACTGAGCTGAAGCAGAGGGCTCATGAAGGAGAATCGTCTGGCAAGACAATTTACAGATGACCAATCAGACGCAGGGAAAGTGGCTTTCCAAACACCCGGATCTCTCCTAACAGCACAAGGGAAATTGGGGGCACATGCCTGAGGCCTTTCTGGGAGCTTCAGTAGGTGGCATTATCCCTGCTTTGAGCATTTACATCCTATCTTTATGGCACTCCCAAGCTGCTATGGGTTATTTCCTTGGATATTTGTATACAAACACACAGAACAGACTCCAGGAGGTAGAACTTACTGCTCTGCGACGGCCAAATTGGGTGGCAGGGAGGTGAGGCCATTGCCTGTGAGGAGCAGGACACGGAGGTGTGGCAGAATCCCCAAATCACAGATGGCCTCCGCAGTCAGGCTGTTGAAGGAAAGGTCCAAGAACTGCCACACAAAGATAAAAGATGGGGAAGATAAGCACTCTGTGTCACAGTGTCACAGTGATGCTCATATATGAGGTGGGAGCTACTTTCTAGAGTGCCCCATCACCTATAGGACAAAAACCCTCCTGGCTCTCTGGATTAACATTCAAGGTCTGCTGGAGTCAGTACCCAATCGATTTCTAGCCTTAGTTGCCACTACAGGTCTTCGTTTATCCTGTAGTGCTGGGCAAATCAACTCCTCCCCACTCTTTGCTTCATCCACCTATAGATCTCTGCTTGTGCTTTTCGCTTAAACCGCAGTGCTCTTCTTCCATGTATCCTAATCCGAGCCCCAAAAAGACAGTTCAAAAGCAGCAGCTTCCTTGTAAAACTTTCCCAATTCCCCAGACAGATGGAATCTCTACCTCCCCTAACTTGAAGTGCTTTATCTAAACTGCTCTAGGGGTACTTACCAAAGTGCCAGGTATCTGGCATATGGATATGCCTAGCATAGTGCCTGGCACACAGTTGTGGACTAGATCATAAACTGGCACTTGGAGGACTGTGAGGTCAAGTGCCATGCCACTATAACACTGTGTCCTTGTAACTTAGCATAGGACCTGGCACAAAGTAGGTGCACATAAAAAATGAGCTGAAATAAACTGGCTTATGAGGACAATAATCCCCAATTGTCAGCCTATTATTGGCCACCTTCTAACTGGCCATCTGGATTCATGAGACAGTTAACTGGGGTCAAGGGGCCAAGTGTTCAGTCAGAAAACTGTGTTTTTCTCCAGAGACAAAGACAATCATGATAAATGACATCTGTCCAATATTTGTTTTCCTTCTCCTAAGCCTCTGTAGACACTCACTCTATATACAAGTTGGCCCCCTTCCATGCACTGCTATTTCTTATGTGCTTCCCTGTGTCCCTCTTCTCAACATACGTTGAAGTCTATTGAATGGGATCAGTTTCAGCATCTTATTCAATTGGTAAAGGAGCAAGTCTTTGGTCAGCCACGTCAGTGTTACGTAGTCAGACATATATGCGCTGCAAGTTACCATCAGAGAAGGTCTGGGTTTGGTCTGACTCTGGAGTAATAATTAACTGATGGGCTCTGCAGACCTGAACTTAAGTCTTGACTAACAATGTGATATTAGGTAATTTACTTAATCTGGGTTTACTTATCTCTAAAGCAGAAATAAGTGGTTCTTATGTAGATAAAGCCTTTATCGTGGAGTCTACTATACAGTAAATACTTAGTTAATGTTGGCTGTCATCATCATCATCATCAACGCCATCTGTTCATTCCTCAACCCTATGCATAAGGCTTACTTTGTCCTTGTCCCTGCCCTTTAGGAGCTCCCAGCCTACTCTGCTAAATACACATATATGTTCATTATGTAACAATGCTGCTGGGACAGATGTCTGAAGACAGACCAATCAGGGCACAAAGGAAGGAAAAGTTCAGGTCTATCAGGGGATCAGGACAGGCTTCACAGGGTGGGTAACATTTGAGCTGTCCTCAGAGATCAATAGGTATTTACCGAATTGTTAAGGGCAAAGAGATATTCAGGGCAGCAAGTGGCATGTATGGAAGCCAGGAGGCAGGAAGCAGCCTTGCTTGTTCTGAGAACAGTGAATGGTTTGGGTATGACTGAAGTCCATGGTATAAGAAATGGCTTGGTAAGACTAGCCAAGCACTACAGAGGCACTGAGTTCATGCCACCATCAGCAACTTCCGAGGTTTGAGGATTCAGACAATGAGGCAATCCCACTCGGCTGGAGCAAACAGAGAAGGCTTACAGGAGGAAGACCCAGAAAGGTGCCTTAGATAAGCACAGGGAAATGTAGGGAACATTCTCTCCCTCATACTCACATGTGAACGGTCAGCCTATAGATTCTATCTATCTCCTTAATCTCTCTCATACTTGTTCTCTCTAACCTATTTTTTACACAGAAGCCAGAATGGTTTTTCTAAATGCAGTTCTGACCCTACCAGTTAGCTTAGACTCCTTCAGTGGATCCCTAATCTCCATAAGGTTTAAACTCCTCAGGAAAGTTTCCAAGGTTCTCCCCAGTCTCTTTTCCGCTACCTCTCCAGGCTCACATATCACTATACTCTACTATGTCTCAGTCTCTATTCCAACTATACAGAGCCATTTCCTTAGGGTTCTAGCTCAGAAGCTGGCCAGTTGGTATTTTGTATAACTCATGAACTAAGAATAATTTTTGCTTTTTCTTTTTTGAGACAGAGTCTCATTCTGTCACCCAGTGGTGTGAATATGGTTCACTGAAGCCTCAAGCTGCAGAGCTCAAGTGATCCTCCTGCCTCAGCCTTCTGTGCAGCTGGGACCACAGGTGTGCACCACCATGCTAATTTTTTGATTTTTGTAGAGACAAGGTCTCATTTTGTTCCCAGGCTGGTCTTGAACCCCTGGGCTCAAGTGATCCTCCTGCCCTGGCCTCCCAAAGTGCTGGGATTATAGGTATGAGCCACCCTGCCCAGCCAATTTTTACATTTTTAAGTGGTTGAAAAAAATTTAAACAAAGAATAACAGTATGTTTCATGTGCAAATTAGGTAAAGTTCAGATTTCGGTGTCATAAATAAAGTTTTAGGCTGGGCACAGTAGCTCATGCCTATAATCCCAGCACTTTGGGAGTCCAAGGTGGGCAGATCACTTGAGGCCAGGAGTGTTTGACTAGCTTGGCCAACATGTGAAATCCCATCTCTACCAAAAATACAAAAATTAACCAGCTGTGGTAGTGCACGCCTGTAATCCCAGCTACACGGGAGGCTGAGGCACAGAATTGCTTGAACATGGGAAATGGAAGATGCAGTGAGCCAAGATCATGCCACTTACTCCAGCCTGGGAGACAGGGTGAGACTGTCTCAAAAATAAAAAATTAAAATAAATAAATAAAGTTTTACTGGAACACAGCCATGCTCATTTCTCATTTGTTTACATATTGTCTACGGCTGTTTTCCATTATCCAACAGCAGCATTATGACTAATTATGACCATATGAACCACAAAGCCTAAAATATTTACTGTCTGGCCTGTTGTGCAGAGAAGGTTTGCTGACCTCAGTCTAGCTGCTTTGGCTATTTAATGTAGGATCCAAACTTGCTTTCTACAGAATTAAGGGCAGCTCAAAGAAATGAATAGCATTAGAATCATGGACCACACAGAATTTCAGAGCTGGCCCAGAATTTACAGAGGGGAAATGTTAGTCCCAGAGAGGGTACGATGTTTGGCCAGGTAGGCATGGCAAAGTACTGGCAAAATCAAGACAAAAGAAGGTCTTCTGACTGCCAGGGCGGAGCTCCAGCTGAACCTTTTTCAGATCTGTAAGCCAAGAATCAAACCATGGCAAAGTTAAGTTTTTCTAAATTGACTCCTGAAGAATTCTACCCTGGTTTTGCCTCCTGGGGCAGCCTTTTTGGCAAACAAGAACAGAAGATTCCTAACCTGGCTACTATATCTGCTGAGTCACATCAAGTTTTATTACACATCAAAATATTCATTACTGTGGGCTGCAAATTCAGGATATTTGACAGGTTTATCCTTCTTCTTAGGGAGCCCTTGCAAATCACAGACAGATGAAAACAAATGGCTGGGCAAGAGATTTCCTGTTCTCATTTATATTCGGCATCTTAACTTTGGTCTGCTCTCTTACGTAAATAAATACCCTTTTGTAAGGGTAGGTCCGCTGGATAAATCATCTTCATCAGATGCGATCACACTATAAAGTAAAGTAAAGCCTCCAAAAAAGTCACTCATGATCAACCACTAGATCCAAGCTAGTCAGTTGTAGGGTCAGAGCCTGTAGTCACGTCTCTTTCCCCCAGCCCACTGGCACTTGAAACGGGTTTGAAATGGCAGAGGTGAAGAAGACAAGATGTATGGCACAATGCGTGGCACAGGAGCTCAAGGACTACTCTTTGAAAAAGTAAAGAACAAATAAATGAAAGTTCTTAAGAAGCTCCCAGGTTCAAAGATCAGGGACATGGCTCCCTGTATCTCTAGACCATCTGAAACCAGTTTCCCACTGTCTATTCCAAAATCTACTATTAAATATTTATTAACACAGCAAAAAAAAAAAAAAGCATCAATTGTTGTAAATTTACTTTCTCTCTATTTTATTGGACTTTCAAGAGCTTTGCTTCCTGGACAAGTATGAGGACTACTTTTGTCCCAAATCATAGTAAATTACTATTATCTCCAATATGACTTGAGACCATGGAAAGAAGGTTCCATTACAGTCAGCAGAATATGCTTTACCAATGCAAAGGCACATAATCTATTTTAGGAAGATGGCTATCCAAAGAGGTTAAAACCTTTTAAAACTTTGGCATATGAAGGCCATCAACTCTGAAAAACTCATTTGTAGAAGGTCCCCCTCACTGACAAGACCAGGTTAAGTGAGGCTTTTGTGAAGAATGGCTGACCCTTGATATTTGCAGATGAAATCATTTAGGTTAACAGCTCTTTGGGGTCGACCTCAAGGCTCATAACATGCAGACATTTTGCTGAGATTTGGCTCTGAAACACTACTCCAGCATGTGGAGAAGAGTCTGTTATTCAGTGAGTGAGCTTGTCAGATGCCCAGCCCCACATGTGGCTTAACCTCTGTTGGCCTTTCCTCTCCACATGTGCAGTGACTCTCATGTAGTGACAAAGCTTTGTTCCTTTGTGAAAAGTGGCCCACAAGTCTTCATGAAAGCTGAAGAAGTAATCAACTTGAAGTATGAAGACGTGTGGAAAATGCATGACTATGGGAAAATTTAGGAGAAAACCAACAATGCAAACAAAATTTTTTATATTTTCTAATTTGGGGTTTGGAGAACAGCTGTGAATGTACAAATGTTCAAGACTCTGCTGCTGATCCCACAGGATTCCCATTCACACTCATCTCTGAGCTTATGAACTAAGCTTATGGCCTGCTCTATCGCAGCCACTGAGACTGATCCAGCTCACTTAGACCAGGATGAGACTCTGGAATCAGTCTATCATGTCTCTAGTTCAGCTGGTCCAATCTGCTACACCTAGCTCTTAAGCTCCATGGCTCCTCAAACCCCACTAGATCCAGATCTCCCTTCAAGCTCTCCCTCCTATAATACTCTGTTTTAAAACTCACTTGTCTGCATAGACTCCCTTGCACTTGATCTTTGGCATTTATTTTCCAGGACCATGCACAATGGTTAAGTATTTGGTATCAACTATTTGCTTTAACTTCTACCATCACCACCACCTCCATCAATATCACTACCCTTACGACTCCAACCCCCACCCTCCCTGGAGGCCAGAAATAAAGCAAGATCCTGGATGTACAGGCCCAGCAAGCACCTTCCCAATAGTTATAATCAGTAAAACTCTATACTCATTCCTTACAGGGGAAGTGGTGGGCACCGAAAATTCCCTGCCTCCAACTTACCTCCAGTAACTCAAAGTCTCCATATTTCACGTAGATTGTTTTGATGCCATTAAATGCAAGATCCAGTTCCTTTAGGGCTGGAAACGTGTGAAATGCCTCTACATGGGGAGGAGAAAGAAAGTGTCTGCAGCTTGTAAACCACTTAAGAGAAAGATATTAATAATTATCATTTACTGTGTCCCTACTAGGTTAGGTACTTGGCCTCTAAATCCCTAACAACCCAGAAAAATAGGGATTATTATTTCCATTCTATGTCTAAGGCTCAGCCAAGCTAAGTGATTTGTCAGAAATGGAATTGCTGGTAAGTGAAAGAGCCAAGGATTGAATCTAAGTCTGCTCAACAGCAAAGCCCATTTAAAAAATTATCTTTATTAATCCTGATTACAAAAATTAAAACATGACTCCCAAAAATAGTCAAACATCATAGAAAAATAAAAGCTGGTTAATCCCAACATCCAGAGACAAGTATTAAAAGTTTAATAGCACTCACCTTTTGCTCATGTATATATCAAAATACACACATATACTTCTTTTAACAAAAATAGTCATACTGTACATTGTACTGACTTGCTTTTTCCTTTAACAGTATGACTTAAAGATTATTCCATGTCAAAACATACAGATATGCCTAATGTCTTCTGATGTTCTACACTATAGACATATCCTAGTTTACTAATCAATTTTCCTATCAATAGCCTTTAGGCTATACGAATGAAAGGTAAGAAAACTTTTCTCTCTTTGAGTAAGAACTGAACTTTCTCTAGCCCTGTTCCTCTGGTAACCTGAAACAAATGGTATAGTAACTGCGTTTCCAGGTGGTATCACTTGCTGTTAAAATCACCCTAGGTTGGTAAATTGCATCTGGGCTAGGAGAAACTGTAAATGAATGATAAACACCTGAAGGGGGCACCATAATTTTGGACTTCTCTGTGTGCAGTGACTCCTACAATTGGATATATCCTTTACAAAACTCTAGGAGCTATGCCTATAAGTGTTACAACGTTATTGGTTCCCGTGGGCAATAAAATTTCTAAGCCAGGGTGGCTTTCGCATCCACCCAATGACAGTCTGTCCTGTACCTGAGCTGACACTGCAGGTGGGGAGAGCACAAAGAATACCTCATGGATGGCTTTGGGGAACTCCATTAAAGAGAAACTCCTGATACTGTTGTAATGGCAAACGGTGTGGAATTACTCAGAGCCTTCTAAGTGAACCTGATGTTAAATATGGCCCATGGTAGTCTTGTGAGCCAGAATGTTCACTGGAGCCTAATAAAAAGGCTGCTTTCAGGATGTTTCCAATGAACATCCTTGTACGAGTATTTTCTATGGAATAATTTCCTGGAAGTGAAACTACTAGATTAAAGGCAATGACTACTTTAAATTTAGGAAACATTACCGAATTACCTCCAAGACGTTATCCCAATTACTATACTTCCCCAGTTCAATGCAAGAGTATCCATTTCCTTACCAATGCTGGCTGCCATCAGTCCTTTTCACGTCTGCCAATAATGGACATGCAGAAAACAGTATCTTGATCCATTGTAATTATTAGTGAGGTTGAACACCTTGTCATATACCTATTGGCTTTTGCATTTCAAGCCCAAGCTCCTGACAGACCACGCTGTCTCCTAAAGGGCAGGGACCTCATCATATGCTTCTTTGAAAACAATCCTCAAACTCAATGCAACAAAACTGAACATACCTATTTCCCTCTAACCTGCCTTTTCTCTAGTGTTCCCTGTCTCGATGAAATGCCCCTTGATTCCTCCCTCTCCCTACATTCCTATCAGTTACCAGGTCCTGTGGTTTCTACTCCTCCTGAATCTCTCAATCCCCTGCACTCTTCTTGCCACAATCCTGGCTCAGGCCTCAGCTCCCCTCTCCTAAAAACCTGAAACAGTCTCCCAGGTTTCCTGGCCGTCATCTTCTTTTATAATCCACTCTCCTCACAGCTGCCGCTGAGCTTCTCTATTTAAAACCCTTCCAAGGCTCTCTTTTGCCCGCAGCACTAAGTCCAGTTCACTCCTGGCCCTTGATAATCTAGTCCCTGCCAATCTCTTTAGTTTCCGTTGTCCCCCACATGCATCCCTTGCAAACATACAAGTCCTCTTCGGTCTCCCGATCAGGCGCTGCCATTCCACATCTGCTCCAGCAGCCTGAAATGCCTTCTTCCCTTCTAATTCCTGAATCACTTTTTTTTTTTTTTTTTTTTTTGGTCTCAGCTTAGGTGCTCCTCTTCTCAGAAGTTCCTCCTGACATTCTGGTCTGGCTTGAAGTCCCATGTATATGCTTACATAATATTTCCTAATTCTCTCTTTCACTGTTTTCCCCTCATCCTGCTCTGTCTGTATCTGAGTTCATCTCTCTCAACAAACTACGAGCTCACTAGAGCAGAACTAGATGCACTCATTTCTAAAAGCCAAGTATTCACATAGTCCTAACACCCAGCAGGGGTCGCTGTGGATTTGCTGAATAACAGGTTTTATGCTCCCACAGTAGCACTTTACACACTTAGAAACATTTTTATACACCCATCTCATACGAGCCTGCAAGGTATCCTACAAGGGGAGGAGGAAAAGAAGGGAATTATTCCCACTGACAGATAGAGAAGTAGCACATCACAGAAAAACGTTCTAAGTAGGTAGCGCCAGAGTGGCTAGAATCGAGGTCTTTGTGCTCTCCAGCACCCAGCCTATTGCTCTCCAAAAACAGATGTGTGGCCAATCATGGATGGATAGACAAATCCTAACACATGTGAACGGCTGTGCTGGCTAAGAAGAGGAAGATAGCTTTCAAGAAAGAAAAAGCTTACCTAGAGGCAGCAGGTTTTCTGAGGCATTGATATAAACCACAGAATGAAAATGCTTGAAGTCATTTTCCTTAGCCTGTAGGAAAGCATTTCAGACAAAAAAAAAAAAAAAAAGATTAATTCCCTGTCTAGAAGCCTTGCTGAAGCTCAAAGCCACTGTCAGAAGGATCAAAGACCTAAAGGAAAAAGGGGCATCCTTAGCACAAGAGCAGCCACTTGTTGAGGGCTACAAGGGTTTTCCTGCTTTTTTTCCACTATATTTCAAATGTACAGAAAAGCATACCGAATGACATTCTGAAGACCCATATAACCACTATCCAGATGTATGTATTTAATACAGCTAAATATTTTGCTGCCTTTGCTTTAAATAAATTTCCTTAAAGAAGGAAAATATTATATAGGGTGAACCACCACCATTATCACTCCCCTCTATGTATCCCTCCCTAATCCTGTAACAGCTATCCTGAATTGGTGACTCTCATTCCCATACTTGATAATTTTTTTTTTTCCCCAAGAAAGGGTCTCACTACCATTGCCCAGACTGGAGTGCAGTGGCACAATCTTGGCTCACTGCAGCCTCGACTTCCTGAGCTCAGGTGATCCTCCCACCTCAGCCTCTTGAGTAGCTAGGACTGCAGGCACACTGCCACCAAGCCTAGCTAGCTAATTGTTTGTATTTTCAGCTGAGATGGGGTTTTGCCATGATGCCCAGGCTGGTCTTGAACTCCTGGGCTCAAGCAATCCACCCGCCTCAGCCTCCCAAAGTGCTAGAATTACAGGCATGAGCCACTGCACCCACCTTCCATACCTTTTTTAGGCCTGTATTATATATGTGTGTACGTGTGTGTATGTGTATCTATCAACTATATAAATGCTAGATACAGGTAGTACAACTTCACATTAAATGCAATAGTATTGTAGATCTCATTCTACAATATGCCTTTTCACTCAACACTGTTTTTGAGATTTACCTCAAAAACAGTGAGGTAAATTGATACATATTAATTTATGTATCAATACATGCAGCTTTATTTTATTTTATTTTATTTGAGACAGAGTCTTGCTCTGTCACCCATGGCTGGAGTGCAGTGGCATGATCTCAGCTCACTGCAACCTCCACCTCCCCGGTTCAAGCCATTCTCCTGCCTCAGCCTCCCGAGCAGCTGAGACTACAGGTGTGCACCACCACACCCAGCTAATTTTTGTCTTTTTAGTAGATATGGGGTTTCACCATATTGGCCAGGCTGCTGGTCTTGAACTCCTGACCTCGTGATCCACCCACCTCGGCCTCCCAAAGTGCTAGGATAACAGGCATGAGCCACCACGCCCAGCATATGCAACTTTTAAAATTTACTATGTCAACAGATGTAGTTCTAGTTTGACTTTTTTTTTTTTTTTTTTTTTTGGAGACAAACTCTTGCTCTGTCACCCAAGCTGGAGTGCAGTGATGCAAACTTGGCTCACTGCAACCTCTACCTCCTGGGTTCAAGTGATTCTCCTGCCACAGCCTCCTGAGTAGGTGGGATTACAGGTGCCCACCACCATGCCTGGCTAAGTGTTGTATTTTTAGTAGAGACAGTGTTTCACCATGTTGGTCAGACTGGTCTCGAACTCTTGACCTCAAGTGATTTGCGTACCTTGGCGTCCCCAAAGTGCTAGGATTACAGGCATGAGCCACCAGGCCTGGCCCTAGTTCAACCATTTTAATTCCTGTATAGTATTCCATTGTTTGAATATATGACAAGTTTATTCATTCCCATTTAGTCTGTTTCCAAATTTTATTATGAACAATGGTATAATTCATATTCTTATACATACCTCCTCATCATAAGAGCTTCTTTAACGACATACTCCTATCAAGCTGTGGGGAATACACAGCTTTATGAGATAGTACCACATTGTTCTCCAAGGTAGTTAAAACAATTTACAGTCCTACCTGCAGTGCACAAGAAGTCCTATTTCTTTATATCCTTGCAATTGGCATTATAAAACTTTAATTTTTGCCAGTCTGATTATTGTAAAATGGCTCTGCATTTTCCTGCTTACTTATGAAGCTGAATATCTTTTCATATATTTATTGGCCTTTCAAGTTCCTCTTCTGTATACTAACATATGTATCTGCTGTCCATTTCTCTACTGGGTTTCTCTTTTTTCCTATTGTTTTGTAGGAGCTCTTGACATATTCTGGATCCTAATACATTTTGCTTATATTACTTGCTAATATCTTCTCTGAGTCTCAGCTTATCTTTTACCTTTGTTTATGCTAACTTTTGTTAGATATTTTAAATTTTATTAAATTTCATAAACATTTTCCTTTATGGTTTAACCACAAAGCTAGCAAGAATCCACTCATCCTGTGGGTCTCAGCTAAGATACCACCTGTTGAGATTCACTTGGGATGGCTGGCAAAATATTAAAGAAATATTAGGAAAAATTATAGATTAGTCTCAAACCTTTTGGAGGGCTGAAAGGTTTTATTGGGACAGGCCAAAGGTGGCAGATCCATTAAGTTAGGAAGAAGACAGGGATGATAAGAGGCTTTCCCACTTTGTCCGTTTACCCCACATCCCTTTTCCTCCTACTCTGTTTACCTATGTAAACTTTGTGCTGGATGATCCTCTCGGGGGAGATCAAAGGGGCATCACCTATTAACAGCGTTTACTCTGGGCCTGGAACCTAAAGCTTTTATCATTCATATAACCACTCTTCTAACCATGTTAATTATCCAGAAGTGTGTTGACTTAGAACTTCTGTTGCAAAATCTTTTACTGAATAAATATAACCACGGAAAGGGAGTCTTGGTCGATTGGCTGCATTTCACCCTCTGAAAGCAGCTGACGACCATCCCTGGCCCACTTGAATCACTGTAATGGTGTGAGAGTGCATTTATTCCGCTGTCATTGAATCAGGGTCTGCAGGCCAGACCTCCGCAGCCACCTGGTCATCTCAGGTAGTGACCTCGATGTGATACCCATCACAGCAGGTGGCTCGAACATGGAGTGAACCAATGTGACAAGCACTGTGAAGAAGAAATGACAGACCTCCCGAGAACTGGAAGAAAGAGGACTGTGTGGTCAGGTCAAGTAGTAAGTCATTGGTACCCACTGGGGATTGCCAAGCTCGGGGAGGCATTGTTTCAGGCTAGAGATTCATCATAGGACAGCAGTTATCAGCTCAGGAGACCAAAGTACAGGACATAATTCAAACTGCTGTTTCCCAAGGCCCGCAGTTCTTGGTAAAGAACACACTGGAGGTAAAGCTCTGGGATCAAGTGGGGAGAAATCATGCACAAAGGCAGCCAATGAATAGGAAATAAAACAGGGGAAACGCTACAGCTGTATGAACTTGTCTTAAGCAAGCAGGATTACAGAAGGAACTCTTAGCCTGCCCAGTAATTAATAATCAGCAAGGCAATCAGGTGTATGTTGATAAAAAGATAAGAAAACGGCATTATAGGCCAGAGCTGCACGGCTGCAGTGAAAGAAAAAAAAAAAGGGAAAAAGGCCTCCAGCAGGGAAACTCTGCCTGGGAAGGGGGAGTGAGTAGCACAAGCCGAAGGCAGCATGCAGCACCTGGGCGGGACTAGCATGGCTGCTGTCCAGGGACCAGAGCTTCTGTCATTGCTGCTGCTGCTGCTGCTGCTGCTGCTCCTCTCTGCAGGTGTCTCACAGTGAAATTCCATGTGTTGTATAAAAGCAGCATCCCAAATTATAATTCTCTGCTAAGGTTTAAGTAAAATTTAAGGATTTGTAAAACCTTTTTTCTGATATTAAGCCACTGTTGTTATTCCAACCTTACTTTTAACGTAGCTTCTTTTAAAATCTAACTTAAGTAAAACAGTAACCTCTGAAAGGAGAAAAATTACAGCTAGCCCATGAATTAGTAAGGAGCAATTAAAAGTCAGCCATATAGCCTTGCTCCTCAGTAGAAAAAAATTTCCTAATTAACTGATAAGTTGAAAAACCTATTTTCTATCTTAAAAGGCAACACTAACACAAGCCTTATTTATCCTTAATTTTGTAAACCAGGTGTCCCCAAACTGCGGCCCTCGGGCTGCATGCAGCCCCCTGAGGCTATTTATCCAGCCCCCCGCCGCACTTCAGGAAGGGGCACCTCTTTCACTGGTGGTCAGTGAGAGGAGCACAGTATGTGGCGGCCCTCCAACAGTCTGAGGGACAGTGAACTGGCCCCCTCTGTAAAAAGTTTGGGGACGCCTGTTGTAAACTTAAATAAATTTCAATCAGCTATAAAAGGCCCACAAATTATTCGAAAAGCAATTAAAAGCTAAGCATGTAAAACAACACATTATGCTTTAAAGGAAAACTTTAAGCCAGATTAAATATTTGTTGAATTAAGAAGTAAAAAAGTTGTGCCCATTCTCAGAAAGTAAAAGAAAATTGTATGTGTGTGGTGAAAACATAAGCGTGAAAGATTAGAGATAGTCTTTGCTCAGCCATTAAGTCACTATTTTCAAAACAGTTTTCCAGTTTAAAGTCTATAAATTTGGTCAGCCTGAAAACTCAATTGCAAGATTTAAGCTATTCTGCCTGTAGCTTTAAGCACAAGGTTAAAGTATATTCTTTAAATCTCTGCTTCAAAAGGTGCTCTTTAATTTCCTTTTAAACTTCATGTTACCAATTTCAGCTTGTCATGTTAATGAATTATATAGCCAATTGCTAAGTTATAACACTGATATCATCAAAATTCCTTTAAGGAAAGAGATAGTGTAAAAAAAAAAAGTCAAAAAGAGAAAGAGGTAAGGAAGGCAAAGAGAGAGGAACAGAAAGTAAGACAAAAGAGAGAAAGTAAGAAGTAAAGAAATAAATATTGAGAAAGTTGTAAGATTGCACCTTTAGTGAGGAAGGTTATAAAACAAAGTTAACGCATGTCTGAGAGTGAAAGTTGTAAAAAATGTTATAAAAGAAAATTTACGCAAATAGGTTGTATAAATTTTGTTTTGAAAGTTTGTTTTAAAACATTAGCTGTAAAAAAATTCTCTGTGTAAACATATTAGTTAAAAGTTGAAGTATCCAGTTTTTCTGTGAACTGGACACTAAGATAAAGCACAAGTTTTTCTTAAAGCACTAACCTGCTCTTTTACAAAGATTATAAAAAGTCTCAGCATAGGCACAACTCCTAGAATTTCCAGTGTACCAGTACCAGCCAAGAAACTGCATCCTCATCAAAGGATGAAAGAAGAAAAACTTAAGCCAGCCTAAAAAAGACCCTGCAAAATGATGCAGCTTTCTCAAACCACAAGCCCCGGACCACACCCGACAAATGCTGAAGAGGACAATGCAAAAGCTAAGCAAATCCAGCTTCGGATTTATTTTTTATTCTTTCACTCTGCCTGCAACCTGTACTTGCTACACTCTACCAAGCTCATTTTCTAATCTACATTTTTCTGCCCTGTAACTTAAACTAACAAACCCTTTACAGCTTCTCACAATGCAACCGCTTAACTAAAAGAGATTAACATACCTCCAGTGAAGTTCCTCAGTAACGGCATACAGTAAACTGAAATGCCAAGTAACACTACAGGTCCAACACAAAAAATTCAGTTACACTTACGGTTTTTATAGTCTCAGCCATAGTCATCCTGGCTACAGTCAGAGTTGCTAGTGGCATCTATTACTGAGTCAGTACAAACACCTGCTTTTATAAATAATCTGGCCAAAAATGATGGAAAGGTGTGCAAAATCATCTCTCCTGGTTAATCCCCTACTCCTGGGAGTGGTTCTTTAATGGGAAAAGACTGTTGCTAACTGTACTCATAGTTGTCTTGTTATTTGTTAATCCTAGGATGCAAAGCTGGAATAAAAGAAAGGACCGCCTCACCTGATAGTTCCTTAGCTAAATGAATCAGTGGCCGGCAGACAACAAAGCCTGATATTGTTGAAATAGAAGGGCAAAATGTTGAGATTCACTCAGGGTGGCAGGCAAAATATTAAAGAAATATTAGGAAAAGTTATAGATTAGTCTCAAACCTTTTGGAAGGCCAAAATGTTTTACTGGGACAGGCCGAAGGTGGCAGGTCCATTAGGTTAGGGAGAAGACAGGGATGATAAGAGGCTTTCTCACTTTGTCTGTTTACCCCACATCCCTTTTCCTCCACTCTGCTTACCTATGTAAACTTGGTGCTGGATGGTCCTCTTGGGGGAGATCAAAGGGGAATGACCTGTTACTAGTGTTTACTCTGGGCTTGGAATCTAAAGCTTTTATCATTTGTATAACCACTCTTTTAACCATGTTAAGTATCCAGAAGTGTGTTGACTTAGAACGTCTGTTATAAAACCTTTTACTGAATAATGTAACCATGGAGAGGGAGTCTTGGTCGATTGGCTGCATCTTGTCTTCTGAAAGCAGCTGATGACCATCCCTAGCCCACTTGAATCACTGTAATAGTGTGATAGCGCATTTATTCATCTGTCTTCCAGTCAAGGTCTTCAGGCCAGACCTCCACAGCTGGTGGTCAACGTCTCAACCACCCTCTTCAGAGTGTGTTTTCTGAACGTAAGGCTGAGTCAGGTGACTATCCTTTGGGGTCATATTCAGTACTCTCATGTTTCCCTCATTGACTGCATTAGCTAGTCACGTCTATCTCCATATCCATCTAAGCCCAGCCTCTTCCCTCCCTACTGGACTATATACTCCAGAAGGTAGGCAGTGTCTGAGCCACCTCTGTGTCCTCCAGTAAGCAGCACAGAGCCATATCAGGCCTCAGTAATATTTGGTGAGCAGGTGAATGAATATGTGAAAGAATAGACAGTATCCAATGAGGGGACTGAGCTTTGGTCAGCCATGTTATAGCCCTCAAAAGCTGAATTGATAGAGATACCTGAAATCTTCCTCTACCACTTTGTCTCACAATTATATGTGAACTACATATTATAATCTCTGGGGACCATGTGCTGGCCTAGAATGGAGGGCCTCTCAGCCACAAGATGAATGTATTTCTATGGCTGACCTGTCCCTATATAACTCAAGTCTGAAAATATGAGTGCCAAATGAAGTGAAGCAGAACCCTGTTAAAGGAGCAGTCTGCTCTACCACTAACTTGGCCATCCTGTGTCTTAGAGCCCCTACTCTATGGTTTATACAGGTAATCTATCTTGGTATGCCATGAAAGCCTATGTACCAAAGATGTATGTTATAATATCCTGTATATACACTGGCTAGTGATGGGTCACAAATATGGCTCCAAGCTGTCTATAAGACAACACAAAGAAAGAAACATGATTCATTGCATGAGTCACAGTACCTGCAAGTTAGGAACAAACCAGCTTCTTGGGAGAACCATTACAATTCCTGGCATTGAAACTTGAAAAATGTCTCTTGTAGGCTCTTGTGATGGAAACTCAGTGTCACACAATGAATTATGTACCAACAAAATTACACAGCAAATTCAAAACCAGTTTCATACGGCAATTTCCCTTAATTCACATCAAATGGGACAAGGGCAATATGAAATTTATAGCAAAAGTTTGTGTCTGAGTATTGTTGCTACCCAATAAATCCTTGTCTGACCCTCCTCTCCCTCCTTCTACATGACCAGATTTCCAGTCCCTAGGGGCTCTGGAGGTGCAAGAGACAAACCAGAACAGCCAGGTGTGCCACCTCAAGTCTGGCTCACCCCAATCACATCTTTGCTAGCTGGCCTTACCTTGGATAACTTCAGGCCACTCACATTAATGGTGCACAGATCTGATGGCTTCCTCACACAGTGGTGCTTCAGCTGGAACATAATACAAAAAGTTGGCTCTTAAGGGCCCTACAAAGTTTAATTAATCTATTATTGTTCAGCCTTCTCTTGTTGGGCAATCTTATATATTTGTCATTATTTGTTTGCTTGTTCGTTCATTCGTTCATTCATTCATTCATTATTCATCCATTCATTCACCAAATATTTGCCAAACACTGCATTGGGCCATATGCTTTGCAAAATACATTAACAAACTTTCTTCTAATCCCAACTAAACCCTTTGACATAAGTAAGATTATCTCCCCTTTTTGATGAGAAAAACAAGGTTAAGAGAGGTAATGTGCCTTTCCAAAGGTCCCACAGTTAGTGACAGATCTTACTAATCCAAATCTGTAATCACTAAACTCTATGCTCTTTTGACTACCATATGTCACCCCACATAATTTAAAAGTTGGAGGTAAATCTTAGCTTTGGAGTTTCTATTTATGTTTAATCAAACCTCATTCCTTTTTTGTTAATCATTTATTTATGGTACTTACTATGTTTAGGCCCTGAAAGGCATTGGGAAGACAATGAAGAAAAAGCAGAGACATTCTATAACCTCATAGAGTGTACAGTGTCATGGGAAGCCAAGTAGCGAGTATATATTTATAAATGTGATAAATATTTTAAAGGAGAAATTCAAGATGCTATGAGAGATGTAACAGAAGGTCCTAACCTCAGTCTGAATGAGGAAATACTTACTTGAAGACGTAATATTTCAGAGACCTAAGACTAAATAGGTCTCATGAAAGTGGGTGGTAGGGATTATGAAGTCTACCAAGGCAGGAAAAGCAAGGTGCTTTTGAGAGGATGAAAAACAAGATAAGGTTAGTGAGGCGGCCATTAGATCTTATGAATCCATGCTGGCTCTGTAAAGGAGTGTGGATCTTATCCTACAATAAATAGAAAACTGTCAGAGATTTTTAGCAGGGGGCTGATGGTAATTCTATAAAAATTGTAATGTCTGATACATATAGAAATGTCAGAGTATATCATGTAGATGAGAAGACAGGAGAGGAAGAGGAAAGACCAATGTACCAGATTGGTTAATTACTTTCTCAATAACCACTACCCCTTCCTTGTTAAAAAAAAAACACTAATGTTATTCACATTTCTCCAAATAGAATGTTCTTAAGCCAGAGCTCCAAGGAATAAGTTTTTTTTTTTTTTTTTTTTCTTTTTTTGAGACGGAGTTTCGCTCTTGTTACCCAGGCTGGAGTGCAATGGCGCGATCTCGGCTCACCGCAACCTCTGCCTCCTGGGTTCAGGCAATTCTCCTGCCTCAGCCTCCTGAGTAGCTGGGATTACAGGCATGCGCCACCACGCCCAGCTATTTTTTTTTTTTGTATTCTTAGTAGAGACGGGGTTTCACCATGTTGACCAGGATGGTCTCGATCTCTTGGCCTCGTGATCCACCCGCCTCGGCCTCCCAAAGTGCTGGGATTACAGGCTTGAGCCACCGCGCCCGGCGGAATAAGTCTTGATCTGTGTAAACTTATCATGCAGGTTCCATTCCCCTAACTCATGACTGTTTGGGCACATGATATAGGTCTGGATAATGAGATACTGGCTACTTGGGGTTGGGGAGGGGGACCAGTTTTGGAAAGCATTTTCTTACTTCTAAAAAGTCATTATACAGTGACAATCCATTTCAGGATGTTATCCTCTGCATGTGATGGCCAGAATTGCTGCAGCCATCTCAAGATCATGAAGGCAATCAGCGCAAGAGGACGAGGTAACATGCAAGATGGCACAGTGAAAGACAAAAAGAACCCATCTTGCAAGATGTCATTAAGCCAGTAAATCAATCTACCCTAAACAATGCCTCTGGCTTCTTTTTATGTGAAATAAAAGCATCCTAATTGGTTCACAATAGATAGAAAGTTTCTGAATTAGTCCAATAAGAGATGATGCTGGCCCAGATGAGGGTCACGGCAGTCAAGATGAGAAGACAGGTTTGACAACTATTTAGTAAAAGTATGGGGACTTGGTAAAAGTTGGGGTGGGGACAGTGAGGGAGAGGCAAATGTCAAGGATAACTTCAAGTACTGGCTCGGGGACTGGATAGATAGTAGTGCCACCAGAGACAGTAAAGTAGATACAGGAAAAGAGCTCTGTTTTGGGATTTGGAGTGGAAGCACTGGTGCTGTCATTCAATATGAATTGTCAATGAAACATTCAAGTGGAACTATCCAATAGGCAGAGTGGATACCCCATGATTCGGAAAAACATCCTTCTTGCTCCTGCCTCCCACAGTGGCAAAACGGGTAACAAGCCATATTTATTGAATGTGGGAATGCACATGTATCTGGAAACAAGGGGGGGAAAGAAGGCCACTATGGAAAGTATTTCTGCCCCTCCTCAGTATTGTTGTTTCAGTCCTTCTCATTCCCAATAAGAAGTGGATATAATAATGAAACTGATGCTACAGGACTGCAAAAAGCTTATACTACCCACTTAAGGTGCGATGAAACCAATGAAGTTCTCTTTCAACCTCTGTTCTATGCAGACACCCATCTCTTGGGAACCATAGCACAATCTGGAAACAAAGTAGGCAGCTAGAGAGTTCTTAGGGAGCTATGATAACTGGACTGCATATTAATATTGATTTACAGAATGTGTCCTTCTTAGCAAAGCCACTGAGGCATTGCACAAAACAGACGTGAAACTATCTGGCTGGTCTCCAATACAGTCACCCCAGTCCTCTTTGTAAAGTCTGCGCCAGGAACTAAGTAATATCTGGTCAGCTTCACTGGTTTTCAGCCGGACACTAAAGTCAAAGGACAAAGGCTGGGGGAGAGCAGGATTTCCCCAATCCCACCCGATCCTGTAGAAATTGCCCCAAAGAGCAGAGCAGGAATCGCTCAACCCTACCAGGTGCTGGAATACAATTTTCAATTGACTGTTTCCCCTGACCTGCTCCTTTGCCTCTCCAACTCGATAAGAGTTGTTACCTCATATAATGTAAAGTACAGGCTTTGGAGTCAATGGACAGAGTTCTAATCCTGGATCAGCCATTTACAAGCTGTGTAACCTCAGCCAAGGCAAATTACCTCTTGGAGACTCAGTTTTCCCATCTGCCCAATGGCAACAATACAAAAGGGATGACAATACCTATCTTACTAGGTAGATGTCAAGAAAGCTTTACATGTCAAGAAACTTTTGGGTCCCTTCATTATCCTGGCTGTATTCAATTTGCCAATAGTTTGAAGCAGATTGGGGGTAGTTGTGCCAGAGCAGGGCAAACCCTTCCCCACCCGCTCCCTACCCTGACTCATGTGCCAGCCACTCCAGGATGCATTTACTCTCACCAGAAAAGCCTGGTCCAGGATATGTCCAGGAAGGTCCACCTGATTTCCCCGCCGAGACCCTTTCTTTCCCCTGAACTCCAAAGAAGACACCTTCGGGCTTTCCTGATGTTCAGCCCGTGCTCCAACCAAACCCTTGGGCTTCTTCTTGATGTTACCTTTCCGAGCCACTAACCAGTGTCCTCGGCCTGTTGAGAAAATTAGAACAATGAAAAGGGGAAAACTCCAAAATGACAATGAGTGCAATTACAGACTATTTGTCTATAATACTAAAACCAAAAATCGCTTCTGATTACCTAATGTGCACCAGATACTGTACTACAGCTGGGGGTAGGGGAGATGTCTACCTATCTATGTCATTTAATTGGCCTTCAAACCCAATGAAAAACATGTTACCATCACTATTTTATAGATGGAAAGGCTTAGACAAAAAGAGGTGGAATGACTTGCTCAACTCCTTCCTTCACATGTTTATCTCCAAACTCTATTATTCCTTCAAAAACTAAGATCAAGTATTTCCTGTTCTGCGGAGTCTTCCCTTTTGCCTCTCAGCAGAGCTGATCGCTCTTTCTCATGCATGCCAGTTACTCTCCTATTGGTCATCTCTTGAGTAAAGCCCAATGCGTGACCTCAACTCAATGGGTTCCATCTTCCCAGACCTCCATCAGTATACAGAAAAGATGGTATTAGAAACTCGGAATAAGAAAATGTAGGACAGTTGACATTAAAAAAAAAAAACTAATAATCTATGTCCAGTGTAGAAAGAATTTTAAAATGTATATAAGCAAAAAGAATATCAGGTTTACTAGTAAGCCCACCTAACAAAAATCATTAACATACTTTGGACTTTGTTCTCTCTTGTACCAGCAGTTTATTTAGTGCATGGTATTCATTGTAATCCGTAATTATTTGTTCACTTATTCATTGTCTGTCTTCCTCTCCAGAGTGGAAGCTCCATAAGAGCAGGGACTTTATCTGACTCATTCATCTCGGTATTCCCAAGGCCTGCACAGAGATTACCACATTGTGACCGTTGTTGAACAAATGACTGAATGAACTCTGTCCTATAGCCCCTGCTCACACAGTCATCCATTCCAATCTTTTCTGAGCATCTGCTTTATGCTGGGAACTGGGAGTATGAGATTGAATAAAAAGGAAGCCCCAACTCAAAGCAAGCAGTCATAATAATATAATATATAACATCTTATATCTTATATACAATAGTATAATAATAATAGAAAGGGTGCTGTAGGAACCAGCTTTGTTCCTCTAACCACTGGCTGTCTTCTGGGAAAGCCCACTATCCCTGCCTCAGGGGCTTGTCCTGGCTTACAGACCACTGCTGTCAATCCTGCTTCTTGGAAGCAGTTCCTGCCATGTCTCATATGGGCCATTTCTCATTGCCATTCTGGGCATAATACTCCAGGTACCGCATTTCCCAAGGTTGCCTGATTTGGGGCATGGACTTTGCTTCTACTTTATCCTATCTTCATATCCCTTACTCCTAGGGACCTCAGTCTGAGTTGCTGCCAAAACCCCCAACATGGCCAGAAAGGAAGGCTTCGAGTGTGTCAGGAGATCAACAGGAGAGAAAAGAGATGAGGCTAGCCAGGTGCAGTGGCTCATGCCTGTAATCCCATCACTTTGGGAGGCTGAGGCAGGTGGATCACAAGGTCAAGAGATCGAGACCATCCTGGCCAACTTGGTGAAACCCTGTCTGCACTAAAAATAAAAATAAAAAAATTAGCTGGGCATGGTGGCGCATGCCTGTAGTCACAGTTACTCGGGAGGCTAAGACAGGAGAATCGCTTGAACCCAGGGGCAGAGGTTGCAGTGAGCTGAGATTGTGAACTGCACTCCAGCCTGGCGACAGAGTGAGATGAGGCTGAAAAGATCAGCAGAGTCAGATCACAAAAGGTCCAGAGAACCAGAATAAGGAGCTTGGGTTTTTCATGGAGGAAATCCATGGGGAGTTGGTTTTTTTGTTGTTGCTGTTGTTTTTTTCATAATTTTTCATTCTGAGATAATCTTAGACTTCCAGAAAAGTTGCAAAAATAGTACACAGAGCTCCCATGCAGCCGTCACATAGCTTCATTCATGTTATCATCTTTTATAACCATAATACAATTACTGAAACCAAGATATTAACATTGGTACAATATTAGTTATTAATGTGCACTTCTTTTTTTCCATTTTGCCAGTTTTCTCACTCATGTCCTCTTTCTGTTCCTGGATCCAATCTAGGAGGTCACATTGCATTAGCTGTCATATTTCCTTAGTTTCTTCTAATCTTTGACAGTTCCTCAGCCTTTCTTTTTCTTGTGTAACCTTAATATTTTTAGAGTACCGGTCAATTATTTTATAAAACTATGCCTCAAACTGAGTTTTTAAAAATGCTTTCCCATTAGATTAAGGCTTTTCACCTTGCCAAAATGTCCATAGAAGTGATGCTTGCCTTTCTCAGCTCATCAGACCAGGAGGATCATGATGGCAATATGCCTTACTACTGGTGATGTTAATTTTGATCACTTGGTTAAGGCGGTGTCTGCCTGGTTTCTCTACTGAGAAGTTACTGTATTTTCCTTTGTAATTAATAAATATATTTTGAGATTATGTGAATATCCTATTTCTCATCACACTTTTAACCAGTTATTCTAGTATATGTGATGGTTAATTATATGCATCAACCTTGCTAAGCTATAACATGCAGTTATTCAATCAAACACTGATCTAGGTGTTGCTGTGATGGTATTTTGTAGATGTAATTAGTATTTACAACCAGTTGATGTTAAGCAAAAAAGACTATCCTTGATAATGTGGGTGGCCCTCACCCAATGAATTGAAAGACATTAGGAGCAAAACAGGTTTCCTAGAAGAAGAAGAAATTTTGCATCAACACTACAGCTTCAGCTCCTCCCCAGGGGTTTTGAGCCTGCCAGCTTGCCGTACAAATTTCAGACTTGCTATCCCCTACAATTACATAAAGCCAATGCCTTGGAAAAAAAAATATGTCTACCTACCTACCTGTCTATCTCCTACTAGTCCTGTTTATCTTCTACCAGTTCTGTTTCTCTGAAGAACTCTAATGCAACATCCTATAACAGTTCTTACCTACAAAAATTATTATTGTAGTGTTTGAATAGTGACTTTCTATTTCCCTCATTCCTTCTACATTTTCTGGTTGGAATTCGACTACAAGAAAGAGCTAGTTGGGAGTAGTGACTCACGCCTGTAATCCCAGCAATTTGGGAGGCTGAGGCGGGCAGATCACTTGAGGTCAGGAGTTTGAGACCAGCCTGGCCAACATAGTGAAACCACGTCTCTATAAAAAATACAAAAATTAGCTGAGCGTGGTTGCAGGTCCCTGTAATCCCAGCTACTCACGAGGCTGGAGCAGGAGAATCACTTGAACCTTGGAGGCAAAGGTTGTAGTGAGCTGAGATTGTGCCACTGCACTCCAGCCTGGGCAACAGAGAAAGACTCTAGCTCAAAAAAAGGAAAAAAAAGAGCTATTTTGTTTCCCCCCTTTATTTACATATTCAAATATTTATATTAGTAGACTCATGAATATTTATTTATTCTATGGTCTACAACCCAATTCCACCATTTATTTAATTGTTCATACTGTGCCTGCTTTGGTGATTGGGAGCACCTTCAAGTCATTTGTGTCCTTTCAGCATTTCCCCATTATTTTCCTGAGCACTTCTTTACTTCTGGCACCACAAGATATTCCAACTCAACTTGTATTTTTACTGCCATAGTCCTGCAAACAACTATTTCTCCAAGAAGCCCATGCTCTTTTCATTGGAGAATGGTATTTAGAAACCAAGATCTAGATGCCAGGTATGTTTTTTGCTGCTGAGGTATCATTGCTGTCAGTGAACTAGGAAATAATCATATGTACACTAATCCATATAGATACACACAACTATATTTATTTCTGTATCTATCCATCTACATGTGTCTGTGTGAGACAGAGTGAGGGAGAGAGAGAGAGAGAAAGAGAGAAACTATGAGTTCACACTGATAGCTCCATTTGAAGGTGTCTAACAGGTAGGGTGGCCAGGGAAAGTCTCTATGTGAAAAATAAAATCACTCTAGAAAAGCAGAGACGACAGGCAGGAAGAGAAGGTTCTTCCAATATTCCATATACAGAGTGACCAACAAGTTACAACATCTGGAGTAAACAAGGTATAATTCTCCTTTGTCCTACCCTTTCAAAACAACAAATCCAATCCAGAGAACCCATTCTTAGCATTCCACCTATAGGGCTCTGCTCAGTATTACAACAGTTCCTTGCTCCAGAGGAGTTTTTAACTAGATAAATATTTGAAAATCTACCTAGCAGAGTTGAGTTTAAGCCATTTGATTTTGTATGATCACTCATCAAGTAAGAAATACAGACAGGAAGAGAGCTCACGAGAGGATAAGCCCAGAGAACTAGGGTAGTCAGACATGGCTTATTGAAAGAAGTAGGAGAAAAGCTGGGATTTGTGAGATGGGAAGAGTTTGGCTAACAAGGGTGAGAGCTGGAACATTCAGGGCAAATAAAAAAGCTACGTGAAAAGAGAGCACCAAGGAATAGAACATAAATAAAGAAATAGGTTGTCACAGGGGATAAGAGCAAGTTAAACTCAGAATGACACAGAACGCCAGGTAAAGGAGTTAGCGATGAAAAGTCACTGAACAGAAGGGGCACCATGGTTACATGTGCACTTTAGAAGTCCCACAGAGGCTAGTGGGACTGAGGGGAAAGGACTGGGTAGAGCAGGGGACCGTAGTGAAGGGGTTGGAGAAGTAGATGTGAGACAGTCTAAAGTAGGAGCTTGTTGTGAGGAAAGGTATCAATTTGAGAAGTTACCTGACCTTCCTCCGGCACACGAAGCAGATTTCTGGCTGGAAAGCAGTTGTTGAGGTAAGGCTTCCCATCATCCAGCTTGTAGATTCCTGAGGAGGCCATCTCCCTGAGAGCCAGGCAAGGAAAGCAAGGAAGCAGAAGAGTGAAAAGATGCAGCAGAGTGCTCTTGCTCCAGTGCAGCTCAGGATCCCACCAGGACCACCACACCCCTGCACACATCCTGCTTCTGACACCCTGAAGGCCCCACTGCCCTTGAGCTTCTGAAATGGATTGGCTGTTTATATAAAGAGGGAGACAAGACCCTGGGTTTTCAGATCAAATCAATCCTAACCCAATGGCACCTAGAAAGAATGTTATTTCCAGGTTCAAAAAGACTTGGTTTGAATCCTGACTCTGTCTTTCCTTGCTCTATGGCTAGGCAAGTAACTCTACTCCTCTGAACTTCAGTTTTTTCACCTGTAAAATGGGGTTATAACACCTATCTTAAAAGACAAATAAGAAGGTCAAGTGAGAAAGACAGTGCCTGATACATATTAAGTCTGTGCTAGATGTTTTCTTTAACAGAGTTCAAAGAAAAAGGGGCTCACATTTTAGAGAAAACAGTGTACAAATAATGAGACTTAAACTGGATAAATAGTATTTGAGGGATGAATTGAGTTTTCTGATAGAGAGAAAGATAAACGTTCCAAACAGCAAGGGCCACATGAAGGCACAGTTGTGCACAGTAAAGAAACAATGTGACCCAAGAAGGAGAAGGATGTGTGTTTGGGAGTCTTGAACAGTAAGGCTGGACACGAAGGACGGTGCCTGCTCCTGAAGGGCTTGTGGCACCAGGCTAGGAGCTCAGGCTTCATCTTGTAGGTGACTGAGAACCATGGATAATTTCTGAGCTGGACAGAGCCATAATCCAAGCTGTGCTTTAGAAAGAGAGATCTGACAAAGATAGCACTAGGTGAAAGTGGCACCCAGTGGCAACTAGGATTGCAGTTAGGGGAGTATTGCAGCAACCCAGGGATGAGCTGATGAGACTGCATGTTAATAAACTAAAGAATTAAAAAAAAGAAAGATGGACAGAAAAAGGGAATGAGAAAGGCAGGGAGAGAAAAGAAAAAGAGGAGCAAGACCAATTAGAAGTATTAGCATTTAACGTGTGGACATAGCCTAGGCAACACAGTGAGACCCTGTCTCTACAGAAAATTAAAGAATTAGCCAGCATGGTGATATACGCCTGTGGTCCCAGCTACTTGGGAGGCTGAAGTGGGCGGATCACTCGAGCTCAGGATGTCCAGGCTGCAGTGAGCTGTGATCATGCCACTGCACTCCAGCCCGGATGACAGAGTGAAACCCCATATTTTTTAAAAAAGGGTGGACAAAGGAGGAGAGTCCCCTGAAGGATTCAGAAAATAATTTTAGAGAAGTAGGAGAACTGGAGGGTGGACATGCTGCCAGGTAAGCCAAGGAAAGAGAAAACTATATGAAAGAGGCAGGGAAGTCAGGCAAGGTGAGGACTGAAAATAGGCCATGAGCAAATAGGAGGTCAGTTTTGGAAGAAAGGTGGAGTCAAAGTCAGACTTTATGTATGAAAGAGTGAATGGAAGGTGAGGGAATGCAGTAGGTGAATATAAGCAAGTTTTTCAAAAGCTTGATTGTGAAAGGGAGGAGAAAAGCAAGACAGCAGTGAGATGGAAGGTAAAGTCAAGAGATGGGTGAATATCAGGGCCAGAGCTGGGGGATGGTGAGCAAGGTGCCTGAGGAACACTTACAGGGGCATGTGCTCTCTCTCAGGGTTGTGCAAATGCAGTGTCAGCACTTGGCCTCCACCTAGTCCCAGCATTGGTAGACAGAGTCATTATAGAGAACAAATTTTGGAAGCTCACTGCATGGGTTCAGATCCTAGCTATGCCACTTACTAGCTGTGTAGCCTTGAGCAAGTTACTTTTCCATGCCTCAGCTTTTTCCGCTGTGAAATGTAGACAATAAGTGTACCTACTTCATAGGTCTGTTTTGATTATTACAAGAGAAAATGCTTGTGACAGGACTTAGTATCTGGCACATGGCTAACTCACGCTGCTCATTTTCCCTTACTCTGCTATTAACAGGGTAAGAAAGGCTGGACTACATCTACAGACTGAGAAGGAGCCAGCAGGGGAGGAAAGGCTGACAATGCAGGAGAAAGATGGGCAGACCCACAGAGGCATCCCTGAGGAGGCAGGAAGAAGGGCACCGAGCACTCAAGGGCGGGGTTCCCTCACTGAGGGTGAGGGAGGCCAGGCTCCCTCAGGGACAGTTGTGATGGGGGAGAGATTTCAAATATCCTGAGTATTCCATTTCCCTAATACCTAGAGAATAAAAAGAGCACAAAAGCAATAAGCTTTCATTTTCTATCTGCTATGGAGTGGCTCCCAGAGACTCTCCAATGTCATCTTACAGTGAGTCAGAAATTCTTTAGGGGTGTGTGTGTGTGTGTGTGTGTGTGTGTGTGTGCATACCTGTGCATGCATGTACATGAACAAAAATTGGAAAGAGAACATAGTTTTGACCTCAGGTATGACTCAGTCTTTTCTTCATCAAATTATTATTCTCTTCAGAGAGACAGGCACAAAAATGCTTCCTTAAAGGAATGGATAGCCCTAATCACAACTGCGCATACCATTTGTCATTCACAGATTCTTTGCCACAGTCTGATATCAAACCTTGCAAAAACCTACATTTTAGCCAGGACTTGCAAACACAAATGGTTACAGGAGTTGGGCAGGCCATGTGAGTGAAGAAAGCTGGATGTGAGAAAAGAGTAGAAGGAGGATGTGTGTGTGTGTGTGTGTGTGTGTGTGTGAGAGAGAGAGAGAGAGAGAGAGAGAGAGAGAGAGCGCGCACATGCTCATAGAGGCAGCAATTAATCAGCTCTCACCAGTTGCTGCCATAAAGAAATCTAAGTCATTATTGCCAGATCTTCACATTTTTTTCAAGGAAAGTCTACCGTATACGTGAAATCTCCTAATTATTTGGGTGTCGGCAACTAATTTGCCATTTTAAAACAATATGCAGGCCAAACCAAACACCTGAGAACCAGATTCAACTCCAGACTACATTTGTTTTTTCTGATTTTTTTTTTTGACACAGCATCTCACTTTGTCATCCAGGCTGGAGTCTAGTGGCACAATCACGGCTGATTATAGCCTCAACCTCCTAGGCTCAAACAATCCTCCCACCTCAGTCTCCTGAGTAGCTGGGACTACAGGCACATGCCACCATGCCTGGCTAATTTTTGTATTTTTTGTAGGGACAGGGTTTCATCATATTGCCCAGACTGGTCTCAAACTCCTGGGCACAAGTCATCTGCCTGTCTTGGCCTCCCAAAGTACTGAGACGACAGGCATAAGCCAACACACCCAACCTGATCTATTTTCATGGTGTGGAAATTTAAACAGTAAGTCCCATTCAATAAAACAAACTCCCACTACTGAGATTTTCAAATTCAATTACATACATTTCCTTGAAATCAAACATACTAGACCCAGGTCTTCTTTTTTTATCCCATACATCTAACGGGTCACTAAGTCATGACAATTTCAGCTTGGAAATACTGTTCCAATGGTCTACTTTTCTCCATCTCTACTGCTTTCATTAAATCATTCATCATCTCCCACTTAGAATACCGTTAACAGTTTTCTGACTGGGTTCCCACTAAACATGAAGGCCAGATGCCTAAGCATGATCTTGAAAGTCCTTGGAGTCCTATGTCCTAACCTTTCCAGCTCCAGTTAGTTCTACCCATTCAGGCCCACAGTGTCATTTTCCACTCCCAAAACACATCATTCACACGTTGTCCTCCCTGCCTCTGTTCTTGGTGTTCCTTCAGCCTAAAATACCCTCCTTCACCTTGTTTACCTGGTTGATCTCATCCTTTATAATGCAGACCCAAGACCACCTCAAAGATCATGAAGAAATACCTTCAATGGACTATGAATATGCAAGTCTGGAAACACATCTAATTCACTGTTTCTCTTCCACCCTTGGGACTTAGCTCATAGGAAGCATACAATAGACGTGTGAGCCAAGTGAAGGATATGATGGCACTCCTGGGACCAATATATACATACATACATACACACACACACACACACACATCCTCAGTTAGACTCTAAAACCTTCCTAAGAAAGGGCAATATCAATGGCAGTCATCAATTTATTCCTAACAAATCACCTGGCACATAACAGACTCCATAAATATTTGTGGAATAAATGAATGAATGATGGTACCTCCTTTGGTCCAACACAGGGCACTATGAGTTTTCTGATCCCTGATCTTCCCTGCAAAGAATTGGAGGCTCTTCTTACGTGTTCCTACAACATTCCATACTTTGCCTAGTATAGTACTTATCACTTTATTCTAATTGTTTGCTCCCCTCATCAATTTCTCACCTGCTGTGGGGCCTATAATTACCTTATTCAACTATGTAATCCCAGAATGTAGCACAGAGCCTACAACTCACTGAAAATATGTTGGGAAGATTAATAGATAGATGGATGGATGGGGACAAATTTATATTCAGTCAATATGTCTTTCAGGAACTCTCTCGCACGCAACCAATCGCACGCATCTGCTAGAGAGATGAATGAAGGAATGAATGAGTAAATTGCTGGCTGGAAAATGTTAGATATGATGGCTGTTGGAAAAGCCTTCAGTAACTTACAGAATATGGTGACCTGGCTTCAGGTTGGCAGAGTACTTACTTGATCTTTGACTTTGAGAATGGCCCCTTGACTTCCTTTTTTTTTGGTTTCTTCACTTGTTTCTTTGCCTATAAAATAAATATATTCCTTCTTAGCATGCTATTCAGAGCTCTTGAACTTTCTCATTAATTATATTCTACTTGAGCCTTCTGCTCCAAAATTTGTCTTGCCTTTAGTCCTTGCCCATAAAACTAAAGATTCAAGAAATAGATATAGATACAGAGACGGAGATAAAGACAAGACATACATGGAAAGGTGGTATAGGAGAATGTAATTATGATAATGGGGTATGGCTGGAGTGCTTAAATAAGACACATGAAGTAGAAATCTGAAAGGAAGGGATTGTTTACATGATTATTTACATAAAATTAATTTCTGCCAGATAAAAATAGCAAAGTCAAAGTTGAAAGATAAGTCACAGTCTGGGAAAAGTATTTGCCATGCATATAATACAAAAGATGACTCACACTCAAGTTTGTAGGAGGCACACAGACCTGGATACAGCTGTAGAAATTCCAGTCCCCTATTAGGAATATTAGATGAGAAGGTGTGGATCTACAACTAATGGGCCAAGAAGGGCACATAACCCCTAGGTTACATTATCTAAGACAAGTATAAACTTTGTATGGTAGACAAAAAAAATCAAGTTCCAGGCTGGGAGGCTGACTGCCTGGTTAGTTTAGTTACCTCTGGTCTCTATCTCAAACTTGACGCCGCTAATACCAATCTGACTGTAGTGCTTCCTCCAAAACAAACATTCTCCCTTTCTCCCACACCTGCCCCACGCAACACACACATGCAGTAACGCATATATTTGCTTGTTCCATTCCTTTGGCCTATCACATTTCTGCCCCTCTTCCTTGCCCGGTTACATACAGATTAGGTTTCCTGTATCTTCCTCTCCTCAGGTTGACACTCCTGAAGCCCACTTCTTTTTTTTTTTTTTTCTTGAGACAAGGTCTCACTCTGTCACCCAAACTGGAGTGCAGTGGCATGATTTCAGCTCTCTGCAACCTCCACCTCCCAGACTCAAACAATCCTCCCACCTCAGCCTCCCAAGCAGCTGAGACCACATATGTGCTACCATGCCCAGCTAAATTTCTGTATTGTTGATAGAGACTGGGTTTCACCATGTTGCCCAGGCTGCCTCAAACTCCTGAGCTCAGGCAATCTTCCCAACTCGACCTCCCAAAGTGTTGCGATTACAGGTGTGAGTCCCCTTACCCAGCCATCAAGCCCACTTCTTAATGGAGGCACTAATATGGTTAGGCTTTGTGTCCCCACCCAAATCTCATCTTGAATTGTAATTCCTATAATCCCCATGTGTTGAGGGAGAAACTTGGTAGGAGGTGATTGGATCATGGAGGTGGTGTCCCCCATGCTGTCCTCATGATAGTGAGTGAGTTCTTATGAGCTCTGATGGGTTTATAAGTGTCTGACAGTTCCTCCTTCACACTCTTGCTCTCTCTTGCCTGCTGCCATATAAGACTTGCCTCTTCCTCTTCTGCCATGATTATAAATTTCCTGAGGCCTCTCCAGCCATGCAGAACTGTGAGTCAAGTAAACCTCTTTCTTTTTTAAAAAAAGAGGTTTACTCAGTCTTGGGTAGTTCTTTACAGAAGTGTGAAAACAGACTAATGCAGGCACTGTACCATACTGTATTATAATGCCTGCTTCTTTGTCTGTTCCCCACCTCACCAGGCTGTGAGTATCAACAAGGTCAGGTCAGGCCTGGGTCCTACTTATCTCTATATACTGCATCTCATACAGAACCTGGCCTACTGAAGGAAGAGTCTCAATGAGCGTTAATTGAACTAACCCAACCCATGAACAAAATGCAATAGAAGCACTTCATGTCATCTGTGAAGAAAGAAGCAGTGAGTATCAGCGACAGTTTCACAGTGTAGGTGACATTAGAGCTGGAACTTGAAAGATGGGTAGTTGGCCTGGCACGGTGGCTCATGCCTGTAATCTCAGCACTTTGGGAGGCTGAGCTGGACGTATCACCTGAGGTCAAGAGTTCAAGACTAGCCTGTCCAACTTGGCAAAATCCTGTCTCTACCAAAAATATAAAAACTAACCAGGCATGGTGGTGTGTGCCTCTAGTCCCAGCTACAGGGACTACAGCTTGGGAGGCTGAGGCATGAAAACTGCTTGAACCCAGGAGGCAGAGGTTGTAGTGAGCCAAGATCCGACCACTGCACTCCAGCCTGGGTGACAGAGTGAGACTCTGTCTGAAAAAAAGGTGGGTGGGGCGGGGGTGGGGAGGGAGAAGTAGGGCAATGCTATATCATCTCATTGAAAAATGAGAAGTTGTAAAAGACAAACAGCAACAACAAGCTACAGGGGCATCTGACTAGAGTGTCCACGGATGGCTTCACAGAGGTAATGAAACCTCATCTGATGTTATTGTTATTTAGTGATAATTATTTTCTTTTTATGATAATTTGGCTATTTAGTGATAATTATTTTCTTTTCCTTCTGATCTGGGCTCACTGTAACCTCTGCCTCCTGTAATCAATCAATTTTCCTGCCTCAGCCTCCCAAGTAGCTGAGATTACAGGCACCACTGCCACGCCCAGCTAATTTTTGGATTTTTAGTAGAGATGAGGTTTCACCATGCTGGCTAGGCTGGTGAACTCCTGACCTTAGGTGATCCACCTGCCTCGGCCTCCCAAAATGCTAGGATTACAAACATGAGCCACCACCCCTGCCTGTGATAATTATTTTCACGTGAATTTTAGCTTTGCCAAGACAAGTTTTTGTCTCTTTTATTCATGGATATATCTCTGGTGACTAGAAAGGGCCTGCGACATAGTAAGCAACTCAATAATATTTGTTTAATTATTTAGACGCTTATGGGGGATATACAGGAATTTAAAAACACAACATAATGTAATAGAGCATAGTATAATACAATGCTCTGTCATGATAGAGCATATTTGATAACTCTGTCATGGAGTAGGAGTTCCACCAGAATAGTGACCAGGTCTATCTTGATTCCCTGTATCCGTTAGTACAATATTGGTGCTCAGTATATATATATATTTGTGAAAAAAATTATATTAATTAATTAAAATCTAGAATACTATTATATCCTGGAACCATAAAAGCAGTGTCAGAAGGGATGCATATTGGTTTTGATTTTTTTTTTTAATGTCGGCTTGAAAACGGAGTTCAGATACATGCTATCTGGCCTTGGGTAGGTTCTTTAGTTTCCTTATCTAACAGGGCTGTTGTGGGACTCAATGAGAGACACGATGGCTGGAAGTGCACATGGGATACTGCCTGGCAGGCAGTAGGCATAAATGTGAGTGCTCCGTAACACGAAAGCATTACTAACCGCTAAAATGACAGCTGCTTGAGAGAATAATCGGTAAGTGCCACAACCAGTCTAGAAAGGGATGAAGGACGAGCTCCTCCCCACCCCTTTGGAAACTCCACTTCTGGGCCGGAGAAAGACTCGAACTCGAAAACTAAGTTTTCAGTCGCACCTGCCTCCGCCGTCGCTTCCGCCTCCGAGGGGTTCGCGGAGGCGACGTCCCAGTCAGGAGGGATGAGCGCCTGCGAGCCTCTCGGGGATCTCGGAGCCGCTCCACGGTGGTGCCTGCCACGACCTTTCACACTCCTTAGTAACCGCTACGCGGCGACTGACAGTGTTAGGCGGCAACCGGCGGCCGGGGCATCTAACTACAAGTCCCAGCAAGCTCCGCGGCCACGTCCGCTGACTACCTCGCGATAGCGAGCCCCAAACTACGGATCCTGAAAGACTCTGCGCGGCGCGTCACACCGTCAGCTTCAGCCAATCGGCTTCGGACAAGTCGTAGGGGAGGGAGACGCAGAGGTGGACAAGATGGCGGCGGCAGCTGCACAGGGCGGGAGAAGCGGTGGTAGCGGAGGCAGTAGTGGGACTGGCGGTGGTTCCAGCTGCGGGACAGGCATTGGCCGTAGTGGCTTGTTGGATAAGGTGAGGAGCCGGTTCTTGGGAACAGTCGGATCCTGGGGAGGCCTCGGAGGCGGCAAGCCCACCTTCCCATCCCCGTCTCCCTTATTTTCTACGGTCTTTTGAGGGGAGCCCTTGTGTGACCACCATGAGAACCCTACGCACGCTTGTTTGTAGCATGCCCTCATCACACTTCAAACCTGGACCCTCTCCTCTTTAGGACTTCTTCCCTTCTCGCAAATGTTCTGATCCTGGCCACTACGGGTTTTTCGGTAATTTTATTCTTCCATACTTCATCGTGTCCATCGCTTTTCTGGGGTGCTGGGTGCACTGTTGCATGTGCCCATTTCACAGACACGGAAAACCGAAGCCCAAAGATTAAAGAATTAGTATCTCCCAAACTCCCTACCACCATCACCCTTGCGTGCTGCTACAGATTCCAAAGTGTTGACTCTTCCTACTGGGCTGACAAGAAGTCTTTAAGATTTTTCTTTTTTTCCTGTTTTTCCCCTGCCCTCTCCTGTGTTCCCTCCACCTCCCTGTTTGCCACCAAGTGCACTGCTGCCCGCTCACGCTAGCCCCTTGCCTGCTCTGCTCATTCATTTTTTTTTTTTTTTTTTTTTTAACTGCAGTTCTAGCAACAAGGGCTTAAAAGAAAAGAAAAAAAGGAAAACTCCCTGGGTTGGCCCTTTTTGCTCTTTGCACAGCATCTTGGAAGAAACAGTTGCATGGAGAACTTCATCCTGTTGTTGGTTTTGCCTCTAACTAGCTTTGTGACCTTGAAATATATGCTTGCTTCCTCTGTATCTGTTTCTCAGCTGCAAAGTAAGAAATTTAGCCTTAAAATGAGGGACTTAACCCTAAATTCCCTTCCAGTTCTCTCATTGTAGGGCCCTGGGCTGGTTTGATGAGAATTGTTAAGCATGGTGTCTTTAATGTAGTAAGCAGGATTTTTGACTTTAATTGAAAACAGCTTTCACACTTTCCTATGCGTAACACATGGTAGGTGCTTAAGAAATGAATACATGATTATGCTGAGGCGATCAGATCCAGATCTTTTTACTTGTCTTTTTGA